AATTTCAATTAGTATAGTTTTATAGCTAAATAACCTAATTAGTTCTCCTTCTGATATGGTTGGAACTTTTTGTATTCTATTGTTCATTACTTTTAATTTTAAGTTGATTTTATTCATTTAAACATAATAATCATAGTTTCCATCTAGTGTCTGTTAAGGACAACAAACTTTTTATCTTTTTTTTTTGCTTTTCCCCCTGACTGTCTCACTCATTGGTTTTCTTTCCTTTTGCATGTGGGTAATTTACTGTTAGCTACTTATTTTCCTTGGAAAATAATTTATGACAATTCTTTGATGCCTAGAATGAAATGTGTTCCTATAAAGAACATTTGGCTTCACCTGTGCCAGGCATCATAATTTAAGTTTTTATGGATGGCTATGTAATATGAACAATTAACCCATGTCAAGGCCAGCTGTGATTGTTTCTTCTCAAGGATGGTATTTCCATCACCACTCTTACCTGCCCTGATACTCTCCTCAGCACCATGACAAATTTCCTCAAAGTATCTTGGTCCTCTAGGAGTGTTGACAGGAGTGACATTTCAATTGCTGGCTGATGTTACATTGAGGTTGTAGCCCTTTGAACTGCCACTTTATGAGCTCCTAAGTCCTGCAAAGCCATGAAAACTGAGGCTCTATTTTGTTAGATTTGATGTGTGCTCATGACTAAAGTGACTGAAGCTCATATTATGATTTAGATCTAAAATGTTTCCCAAAGTTTCATGAGTTCAGAGGTGGGGTTTTGGAAGGTGATTGGATCATTGGGGCATTATATTCGTTAGTGGATTAATCTACTGGTGAGTTTATAGCTAAATGTGCTGTTAGGAGGTAGGACCTGATTGGAGGAGATAGGTCTTATCCTCGGGGCCTCCTTTCTTTCTCTGCTTCTGGGCTGCCAGTGGGTGAGTAGCTGCCATACCGTTCCACCATGCTGTTTCTGCCTTGGAGCCAGTAAGCCATGGACTGCACTCATTGAAACTTTCAGCCAAACAAATGTCTCCTTATTTAAATTGTGGAGGGGTGGGTGTTTTGTCTCAGTAACTGGAAAATGACTAACATAGCTCTCCACTTAAATCTTTGCCTTACCACCTTCACTCAGGTTTTGGTTTGAGAATTTCATGTTTTTGTTATTTCTTTAATGCTTTTAAGAATATATTGGTTAAAATATTCTTCATTTTTAGTGTGGGTTTTTTTTTGTTTTGTTTTTTTGAGACAGGGTCTCACTATGCAGTTCAGGCTGGCCTTGAGCTCACTTTGTGGCCCAGGCTGGTCTTGAACTCACAGTGACCCTCCTGCCTCAGCCTCCTGAGTGTTGGGATTACAGGCGTGTACTGCCACACCCGACTTAGTGTGTTGTTGATACTGTTGAAAGGATTGATCTACCTGTAGTCCTGTAGCAGAATTCTAAATATCTACTTTCCACATATTTAGTCCTCTCATTAGTGTGTACATATGTGTAACATTTTTATTATAAGAATTTTCCAGTGTACACAAAAGTTTAGAAGGTTTCACAGTGAACAATTATATATTCATCATGTAGATTTTATCATCAACATTTTACTATATTTGGTTTGTCATATATCTATACCTTTCTCCATCCATTCATATCTTATTTCTATGTATTTCAAACTAAGTTGCAGATACATTTTCCTCTGAACATCAGTTGTTTCATATGCTTAATTCAACTATATTTTTCATTTCTATAATTTGTATTTGATTCTTTAATCTACTTGGGCATTAAAAAATTCATCTCTACACATATATGTAGACTTCCTTTTACTTCTTTAAGCATATTATACTTAATTATTATATGACATATATATTATTCCAAGAACTGATGTCTTTGGAGTTGTCTGCTTGTTTTTGCTCTCAGGCATAAAACAGTTTATGCCTGTTTCCTTCATGTTTTATAATTTGTTAAATGTAAGCTGCTCATTTTCCTAGAACATGTCTGTGGGAATTTGGGATTGTTTCCTCCATAGAAGATTTTCATTTACTTCTGCAAAGTGCCTAAGAGAACTAAAAATCTCAGACCTTTTTTTTTGTCTTTTTGAAACAGGGTCTCGCTATGCAGTTCATGCTGGCACTGAGCTCTCTTTGTAGCCCAGACTAGTCTCGAACCCACACTGATCCTCTTGCTTCAGCCTCCCGAGTCCTGGGATTACCTGGCCAATCTCAGACCAGTTTAAATTAAATTCTTGCCTTGAGGTTTTCAGACAGCAGGAGATTATGGAGGAGATCTCATCTGCAGAGGAAAAGAAAAGAAAGAGGAACCCCTTACTCCTAAATGAAATTAGGGAGATGTGTAAAATGTGGGAAACTGCAAAACTTAGTAGACAAACACAGCCCAAATAAGGCTATAGCAGTGCTATCGAAAAATAAGTTTAACAACAATGCAATGTCACATTTCCATGAAATTTTCAAAAGGAGGCAAAAGCAAGTATCATTGGATAGGTTTCTTGTTAAAGTTATATGTTTTTTTTTTTGTTTTCTTTTGTCTTTTTTTGAGACAGGGTCTCACTCTGCAGTTCAGGCTGGCCTTGAGCTCACTTTGTAGCCCAGGCTGTTCTCAAACTTGCAACGATCCTCCTGCCTCAGCCTCCTGAGTGCTGGTATTACAGGCGTGTGCCACCACGCCTGGCTTGTTGAAGTTATATGAAAAGAAAAAGATTCCACTGAACCAACAGATAGTAATGATTCCATTAGCGAAAGTTATCCTACACAATACCCTTTCTCTCTTATCTCCCTCACACCAGACCTTTTCAAAGGTAAGAGCAGGTTAATTTGTTTATTTTTCTTTGCATTTTGATTTTGACTATTTTTTATTATATTATAGTATTATAATCATTTTATATGAATATTTTGGGGTTATAGAACAAATCATCTGAGTTTCCATTATTTTTTTTTTTTTTTGAGACAGGGTCTCACTATGCAGTTCACTCTGACCTTGAACTCACTTTGTAGCCCAGGTTGGCCTTGAACTCACAAGGATACTCCTGCCTCAGCCTCCGGAGTGCTCGGATTACAGGCGTGCACTACCACACCCAGCTCCATTATTTCTTATGGGGAAAATTGCTTTGATATACAAGTGCTTTACATTACAAGCACTTTAGATTCCAGGATGAATCATGTTTGCAAACCAAGGTTTTACTGTATTTTTCTATATATCTGACATATGTCATAATTTTAAAATAATCTAACAAATAGAAAGCCTACTAATTTTCAGTATGAAATAATTCTCATGTACTCTATTAAGAATGTCTTCAGTTAAATTCTGACATACATATTGTAAAACCTGATTATACAGGATTTTAAAATCAAGATGAGAAATTTCACCTGCACCCAGGAAGCTGTGCAGCAGGGAGCATCAGCCTTTGGCCCGGACCCTAGCCATGCAGGCACTGGGGAGGGGGGCAGCCGCTCAGGCCAGCTGCCACGGCATGGTGGAGAACTATCATGGCACAGAGAAGCAATGACATAATTGGCCCGCCACACGCTGGCCATTCAGGTCTGCCCAGGGACATGTGTGAATCATCCCGACATGGAGAAACCCCTGGGAATACATGGCACACAATGGGTCCCTCTTGCCCTTGCTGTTGAGAACCAGAAAGGTCCAGAGTCAGCAGAGGAGCAGCCACTGAACAAGGACTCGGAGAACATGAGAATACAGACCACACCCGAAGACTCAGAGGTCTAGTTGACCAGGGTCAGGAGAGGCGTTTGGAAGCTGGAAACCAGAGGACCTTGCACAATACCTGGGGAGAACCCCTGGAAGCCATTCTTCCCCTGACAGTACAGGCTGCGGTGGAGGAGCGTGTGGAGCTCTAGAGTGGTCTGCATCGAGATTCCTGCAGCCTGTGCTGACGATTGGGGAGAGGACACTAATTGGTTGTGGGGTCCCAACTCGCTGCGAGGCTGGAGAGAAAAAACAAAAAATGGCTTTTGCCCCATATGGCTCACTTGAGATGTTAGTAAGAATTGCCTCCTCAGTGCTCTATAGCCATGACGAGGAGGAGGCCAAGGAGAGAAAACAAAGAGACCAAGAAAAAGCAGCTGCTTTTTGCTGCAGCACTAAGAGAAACAGACCTTAAGTCTGATCCTCGGGGCACCAAGAAGAACTTGATGACTACATTCATCTGCTACCACTGTTAAAAGCCAGGCCACCTCAAGAGGAACTGCCCTAAGAAGCTCCCTGGGCCATGCCCTGAATGCAAAGGTGACCACTGGAGATCGGTCTACTCTCTGAAGAGGAGGCCCCAGAGCTCAGACCCATCCTACCAGTTAGTCTAACAGGAATGAGGGGGCCTGGGGCATACTCTGCCTTCTCCCTCTGGCCAGACTGTCATCTCCATGGAGGAG